CGTGTGTGTGTGTGTGACTAACACGGATGAACTCCTGCTGTGTGGGGGCTCACTCGAAAGTTGTTTTTTCTACGTGTTTCACCGCTACATGTTTTAATATAACTATATTGGAAAGAGAGAAAGAGAAACCACAATGGAAAACTTGATGACACTGAAGGGTTATAAAGAGAATCTATGCTTCATTTTTATGATGGTACAGAATGTCGTGAAAAAATGTGAAATGAGGAACTCTTTTTACTTTTCCAGATGATTTTTCTTTGATATTGTTTTGTTGAAGAAACACTCAACTGATCGAGCTGGAGAGCCAGTGTATAATATAGTGTATTTCAAGAGCAGGTATTGAACTCAAAGTGTCATTCTATTTATTTTTTACAACAAATCTTATTTAGATTACTCCAGGTATACTATTGAATAGTATCAGCGACTGTACCTGCATTGTATTGAAGATTGTATTGTCAGTGCACAGCAGTGGAACACCTTGATGGTATTAATTGGCATTAATCAACATAGTAATTGTAAAAAAAAACAAAACAACACTCTCTTTGTTAAAGCAACAGAAAAGAATCATCGGGGAATTTGATCTAAGACGACCCCAATTCAGAACTTGGCTACAATATATATGCCGTACATTGTATCTAAGGTAGGCAATGCTGCTATTTTTCATTGTAATGGAATGCTTTGTTGGTGTTAATTGGAATCCATCCGTCCATTTATTGTACCGTCACAGGAGTTTAAAAAAAAAGAAGAAAGAAAAACATGATAAAAGTTATCAGAAGAAATAATCACTGCAATGTAATACTATTTAGCTTGAAAGCACTGTGGCAGTTACAAAGTGTACAGTAAGAAGTTGATGAATGTATGGGTGGGCAGCACGGTGGAAAACTGATTAGCGCGTCCTCCTCACAGTGGCAGGGTTCGATTCCGGCTCCGGCCTTCCTGTGTGGCATTTGCATGTTCTCCCCGTGCCTGTGTGGGTTTTCTCCGGGTACTCCGGTTTCCTCCCACATTCCAAAAACATGCTTAGCAGGCTGATTGAACGCTCCAAATTCTCCCTAGGTGTGATTGCGAGCACGGATGGTTGTGGGTCTCAGTGTGCCTTGTGATTGGCTGGCAACCGGTTCAGGGTGTCCCCCCGCCTCTTGCCCCAAAGACAGCTGGGATAGGCTCCAGCCTGCCCGCGACCCTTGTGTTAATAAGCGGATTAGAAGATGCATGGATGGATGAATGTATGGGCGTATGGATCGCAGTTGATCAGTGTTCTCCCTTAAGAGAGCATTAAATTAGTGATAGGTGATCTGTGGTCTCAATGGCAGTAAATGATAAACAGGTTTCTTTTCACAAGCCAATGGAAAAAAAATAAATATAGCACTTCTCAGAACACTCAGATGCAGCCCCTTTGTTTAAGTCAAATTGTTACATATTGTTGCTCTAACATGGGAAATGACCCCTGCTTCAGTCTAAATCAAGAGTTCTACTGTATGTTTAGTTTTCTTTCTTTTTATTTTTTTAGAAAATACTTTGAACTTCTCCAAGGATAATTTTAGTAACATTTCTACACAAGATAAATATATACAGTAAGTATATGCTGTGTGGGTGTGTATCTCCAGTGCGCACGCACACACACACACACACACACACACACACACACACAAACCATCTTGAAATAAGAAATCAACCTGCGCTGCGCGTAGGCTTTCTTTGACTTGCTGATGATTTTTTTATGTTTGTTTTTTTTTGTTTGTTCTGCCTGATGGAGACTAAAAGACAAAGTGGCTTTCTGGTTCTTGTGAAGTAGAGACTGAACGTATGAATAAAGAAACAAAGCTGATACATGTGCTCTCTGTGTTAAGCTTTCTCACTACTCTAACAAGTGTGACCTCAGGAGAGTTGAAACACCGCATGAGTAGAGAAGTGGTGCTGGTAAAATTGAATATTCACCAAGTGCTGCACTTCCCAATATGAAGTACATTACAAAGACAGACTTTAAAATATTGATGACAAAAGCTTTTTGGGGGTGAGGGGGCAGAAGGGGGTTACTACAGTAGAGTGGGTCCCCATAGGCCATCTGTTATATCTCTTTGCACTTTCAATAATCCTCTCAATCTCTAGTCAATGACCTCATTTAACGCACAAATTTGAACTACATTAGGAATCAAATATCATCACCTTTTGGAGTTAAACAAAAAAGACAGATTAAAAATATGCAAATAAATAATCATAATCATAATAATTATCATCATAATTTGATTTTACTGGAGGGCTGCACGGTGCTTGACTGGTTAGCACGTGCATCTCAGAATGCAGAGGTGCAGTGTTCGATTCCAGCTGCGGCATTCATGTGTGGAGTTGGCATGTTCTCCCCGTGTATGTGTGGGTTTTTTTCCGGGTATTTCAGTTTCCTCACACATTCCAAAAACATGCATGGCAGGTTAACGCGAATTGCTGTTCATCTGAGTGTGCCCAGGGATTGGCTGGCAACCGGTTCAGGGTGTCCCCCTCCTACTGCCCGAAGACAGCTGGGATAGCCTCCAGCACAACCGCGACCTTCGTGAGGATAAGCAGGTTAGAAAATGGATGGATGGATGATTTTATCAGATTTATTTTTGTGTTTCTGCAATTGGCTGGCAACCACTGCAGGGTGTAACCTGCCCCTCGTGCAAAGTCAGCTCGAAAAGGCTCCAATAAAATGAATAAATGGATGGATGTTTGATTTGTTGCGACTATTTGCTTTGTTGTAACCTATTGAAAAAAAAATTACACCGATTTTTAAAATGTAACACTGACCAACAATCAACATCGCATAAGAAATGGATGTAATGATAAGAAACGATGACTGAAGTGAAAGCACAAATTGTCCCAGTTCTATTCCTTCTTATCTAGACCATTTAAAATGTGACAAAGGTCCTGATTCATTTCAAACCTGAACAGAATGATTCCAATATATTATTCATGTATTCATTGCACATTATCTTACCAGGAAAAAAAAAAGTTCAAATGTTTTAATAAACATACCCACTACCTGTAATGTGATTCCATCACATTGCTTCCATCCAGATTTGTTTTTTTGTTGTGTTTTTTTTGTTTTGCATTTATGGTGGGAGTGTCCATGTAAGTGCTGTGTAAAGTCTTGTCCAGCACATTCCAAAAATTCCCAACGGAGTTAAGGTCTAGACTCACTGGTGGCCAATGCCTGAGTGAAAATGATGTCTCATGTTCCTTCAACTAACCTTTGACAAAACATTCACTCGAAAGAAAGCACTGTTCATTCAGTGGATTCGCGTCGTGGGCTCACCTCACTTTTTGGGCTCACATAACACAACTGATCAGAAAACAAGTTTGGATAGTGATCAATTCTTTCAGTGCCTATCACCCGGTATTGATCAGACCACATCGCACTTTGCTATACTTTCTAAAATGAAGCCTTTGTGCTCCAATGACTGTCGCTTCAAGTTACTTTCTTAAAACAACCCATCTGTTTATGGCCAATCTGCTTTTGTTATTTGTATGATGTGCACCAAAAGAATATTGTTTAAAAGGCCAACACATATCCACAAGTTTTCTCAATTATATTTCATCAGTCATCACCAGGGCAGTCATACAGGCAAAAACATAGCATGGGGAGGAAATTCCATTTAACGGAGCATTTTCTCCGAAGACCAATGTGCAGTAAGGCCAATGCGAGCTCAAATAAATTCAAGTTGAAACATGCAACTTGAAATTATATCGATCACTCGCATCGATCCCAGCTGGGGTAGCAAGCAGTTACATTACGGTTGTCAGTGAATGGGCAGACATTTCCGTGGGGTGACGAAGGGAGTGTAACAGTGATGGCGAAGCTAAGGGAAGCAGCGCTGCAGCTCATCTGGAAGGATCTGAACTTTGGAACAGGAGGATGATTGTTCAAGTCTGGACAAAAGCATTTACAACTAGCTGTTGGGAGAGATGCTCGTCTCCATCCTGACTATTGTCGGGATGCCCTTGAGCGAGAGTGTGACCCTGCCCCTAACCTCAGCCTTCTTCCTTGCGTGCCCACATGTGTGTGTGACATGAAAGAAAAATAAACAGCGTGTGAATTTCATCTCCCCATGCAAGACCAGAATTGGCATAGTGAGTTTTTAAAACTGGATAAACCCTGCACCAAATAAAGAAGTCATTGTCCTAGCTGCTCAGTGCAATATGCACAAAGTGTACATATGAAAAGCGTATGTCATTTTGGTTCAATTTCACAATTAAATGCTACTTTGTGTTAGTCTCTTACAGAAAATCTCAACAAAATGTTCTCAGATTTGTGATTGTAATGTCACTGTGTACGCATTTCTGTCCTGGCTGCTCAGCGCTCAGTGCACAGTAGGCTAAAGTGACCGCAATTGTAAAACGGTTACAGAAGCTGCATTTAGTCTTCATGCGATGAGTCTCACCTCCCAGTCATAAACACTCATCTCAATTTGCGTGTTTGACACCACCCCGTAACGGTTCAGGGTGAGTACACTCATTTTCACATTTGTATAACCTCAGCACTGTGAGGAAATGGACTAACCAATAGTTCCCACATGCTCGCCAAATGTTACAATGTTACATAAAAAAAAAAAAATGTTCTTCATGAACATTTTATTGTGGCCTTATGCTGGACAACAGCTCTGTGAATGTTTTCTCACTCCTGTAGTCAAGTAACATTTTTCGAAGCATCCCACAGCCAGATGAAAGCTATTAATGCATGCAGTGCATATCCAATGGGAGGATGTGAACTATTTACTTAGTTGAATCCAGGTGCTGACTTTTATTTGGCCATTGAGTGGTTCTTTTCTGCTGGAACCATGAGAGCTTTTTTTTCTTTTATTTTGTCCTGCAGCCTTATCTCTCTTCTAATTCCTTCAGCATTCTTCTTTATAACACTTTTACAGAGAGAGAGAGAGAGAGAGAGAGAGTGAGAGAGAGAGAGGGAGCCCTCCCCCTCAAATATTCCACTCTCCCTCCCCATCAGGGGGGACGAGGAGATGGGTGAGGTCGCCTTGTCTGGAATGAATCAAGGGGGATGGGACGGCCGTGGCTCGCAGACACCCCCATCCGCCTCTGGCGCGCCAATCCCGGCCCAGATGGGAACGTGGACTGTGGCGGAGCGAGGGCGGGGCTCCGTGGCAGCGTTTGACAGCTGCAAAAATAGAAAATGTATCACGCTCAGAAGATGAGGGGAAGCATGCTGCTCCCAGCACACTCTTGGAGAATGGAACCAGCTCCATCGTCGGCGTAAAGAAACTCTTTTTCGGGGTGTCATTTATTTATTCTTACTGTCGTCTCGAAGCAATTTGGACTATGCACCGCGCCTTCTCCTTCCCGGTGACGGTGGAGCGGAGCCGGACTAAGGAGCGCCTGGAGGCCAGTCTGGCCGGCTTGTGCGAGCTGGAGCTCCGCAAGCAGCGTCAGGAGGGGCTAGTGCTCGGGGCTCTGGCGCTGGGCGACCCCCGGCCCCCACAGGAGCCCCCCACTTCAGGGGACGTGTCCTGGTTCAGCTGCTGGGGCCAGGATAACCTGACACTGAGGCGCCAGCTGGTAAGGACTTTTATTTATTATCATTTATTTATTTATGACACTTTATTTGGATTCCTGGAAGTCCAACACCCCCTCGCCCCTAAGCCCGCTCCAAACTGTTTGCGTTGCGTGATTCGCTTGCTCACTTTTACTTTTGGCTTTTTGCTTTTGGTGCAGAATGAGACCTTTCTGCGAGGAAAAAAAAAAAAAGTTACCCAACTTGATTAATAGGTTCTCTGTTAGCTGGGGCTGGAGGTTTTTGCCTGTGGGCGAGCAGATCAGGGGGTGGAGCAGCCGCCGTTTGGAGCCCAGGCCGACTATTTAATGGCCCATTGTTCCTCCATCATGGACTTTTGTGCCTTTTTACTGCTTTACAAGCGTACTCTTATTGCAGCTTTCTCCACATCATAAAGACATGACTGATTTTCAGCGCTTTGCTTGTGGCCGACGTCATTATCTCATAATTGATGAGGTTCTCTCAGTGGATGAACAGATTTCAAAGTGGGTGACACGAGTTTTAAAGCAGAGAGAGGAGAGGATTATGAATTCTTTTTTTTTTTTTGCCCGGAGCATCTCATACACCAACTTTTATGCATCGCTGATCATCAATGTTACTGTACAGTGTACATAATGCTGCTGTTAGAAGCATTACGGTCATTGTTCTTGTTTCTCATCGCTGTTCTGTAGTTCTCGGCCAACTGTTTGCAGCTTGTAACAAAAGGACGCATTTATTTGATGAATGAGGTTGAATGCAGAATTAAATCAACCGCCACATCTTTACGCCTCGTCCCCCTCCTCCTCCCCACAACCGGGGGCCCTAACAATAGATGCATATGGACCAGAATACTAATGTTGCCCGTTGAGAGGATGGTGGCTTTGAACACGGCCGGTCACAACATTAGGAACACCTGAGCAAACTATTGTGTTCCAAAAACGAATGATGGACCAAATGTCCATCAATCAATTTTCGATACCGCTTATCTTGTCCAGGGAACTACGATCTCTCACAGCTGACATCTAGCAAACGGCAGAAGGAACTCTGGATTGGTCCCCAGTCAATCACAGGGCACATGTAGGGACAGCCAACACAGTCACGCCATCACTGTGTGGGAACAGAAACCGCACAGACGTGAGGCGTATGTTACACGACACCATCTTCGTATACGTTTTGTCTGTAAATAAATAAATGATTGAAGGAACAAATAAAGATATGGTGAAGTGTTTCTAAGATGTGGACCTTATGGAGCTAGGTAGAATAATGAATATTGTTAAATGCATCTGAAAGTGTCCATCTCTATTGCGCTTCAGAAAATGAATGGGTGGATCATACGTTTGAATTCGTGCTTTGAGTTCTCACCAAGGTGAAACGAATTAATTCATTACTCCGGTTTCCTCCCACATTCCAAACACAAGCATGGCAGGCTGATTGAACACAAATTGTCCCTCGGTGGGAGTGTGAGCATGGATGGTTGTTTGTCTCTGTGTGCCCTGCCATTGGCTGGCAACCGGTTCAGGGTGTCCCCCGCCTACTGCCCGAAGACAGCTGGGATAGCCTCCAGCACAACCGCGACCCTTGTGAAGATAAAGTGGATCGGAAAATGGGTGGATGGATGGATGGATCTGACTGTCATGCAGGAAGTGGGGGCTCGGTTCCCACCCAGTGACATTGATGGTCTGAATGGTCCCTCTTCGTGGAAACCAACCAGGAAATGGCATCGCACCCGAGTCACATCTCAGATGTTTAACACAAAATTCTTAACAAAACAAAATAAAGTTAACTACTGCAAAATGGAACACGAATGCCCCTATCGCATTGAGCGCTTTGTGAGTGTTTGTAAATGCAGTGAATTTTTTTTTTTTTTTTTTTTGTCAGGGTTCGTTCAAGGACGTTTGGCAACAATTTGAATGGTCTTTCTTGTCAAAAGGAGATTTTGAATTTGGGGGTTACGGGCGACAGTATGTACATCATGTTATTCGAACTGTATTCACAACTGCTTCCAATTTCAGTCTGCCTTTTTCATGTGACTTTGGGTGTTTAGCCTTCCACTTCTCTTTCTATGTTCTTCTTCACTTAACACTCTTTGTCGAGGCTACTCCTTTTGGAACAAGTGTTACCAAAGAGGCTAAAAAAGCCAAATAAGCAACGTACACACCCAGTTAATCCTGAGATGTTTCTTGGGGTATGCTGACATGTTGGATGAGCTTGACTTTAGTTTTTTGTTCCACGTGGAAATATGTTCTACTTTCCCACATCATAATAAATTGCAAATTAACAAAAGAACAAATTGCAACTAAGGTTACAAGCCAATGTTGTCATTTTATGTGACATCCAGAAAATGTTGGCCAAAATTCCCAGTGGTTGGGCCATAATTTGACTCGTGGTTCCACTATATCCTCCCTCTGATTAGATATTAGGGTGAATCCATAACAAGAGTGTGTGTTTCCACTCAGGAGACACAGTGAGCTCCCCCGACCCCTCCGCTCTCCACCCCACCTTGCCGGCGCAAGCCAAGTTAAAAGTGTGTCCTCATCCCAAACGAAGGAGAAGCAGTTGTTTCAAGGTCTGCAAAGGAGACACATGCCTTTCTCCTAGGGGGGGGGGTTTCCTGTTTTCCCCTTCTTCCCAACATATGTGGATCGATGTCTATTAACTCTAACCCAAGCGTATGAGTAATTGCGCAAGTAATGCCCTGACAGAATAGATGGCGGCCGTCGAATTATATGCAGTTCGCCATGTGTGTCGGAGACAACTCCCCATCTCGTTTAGAGTGTGTCGCTGTGGCGGGACTGTGGTTGTACTGTATGTGTGTACATAGTGGTGCACCCCCCACCTTCACTCCCCCCTTGGCTGAGACTGCTGCTGGCCTACAGTGTGAGGCGTTGACAGGGTTGGGATGGCAGACAGCAGCTGGTGACGCATGAAGAGCTGATCTCCTGTCCACTCAATGGTATTGTTAAGCAGGCACACTGTACATGTCTAGAAGCAATGGCAGCGAGTTGGCAGCCCAAATAGCAACAATTTCTTTCGTCATTCACAGCACTCACACGCCACCTTATTTGGTCATAGTACAGATACGGTAAGAGTTGTGTCCCGACAAGAAAAGTAATTCTCACTTTCTATGGACACCATGAGAGGTATTTTTTAAGCAACGTTTTCACTTGTGTTGTCGTGTTCAAGTGCACTGCATCATACTAAGAGGCATTTTGAGAAGCTTGACATTCATGTGTAACCCTTTGTGAACCTTCTGGGCCAACAAGGCTTCTTTCTCTGCTGGCCTAAACACTTTACAAGGCACTGACCTACATTTACTACTTAAATTTCCATATTTGTTTCCATGAAATTTTGATGATTTATTCCCAACAGACTATTCTCTTCATTTCTCTTGGCTACATTCGTTCCAGATGTTTTTTTTTAAATGTTTTTGTCACGTTGTAAGATAAATAGTTCCTCTCAACTGCTACAGATGTTGTGCTGTGGATTGAGTTTGGACACCCCTGCCCTGTCATGTCCACATCATTCATTTACTCTGATGGACCTGTCGTGTCTTTTGTGTCCTTAAATGGAGCCCTGTGGAAAGTGCACAACCGCTGAGTCTTCACATTGCACTCATATTAGCACGCAGATGCTGTGCTGTCACAGCTGTCACTCACACGAGGGCAAGGTGGCACGCCACACTCCTTTAACAGCATATCATGACATCCCTCCCCCGTGCCTTAGCACCCCGTCTTAGCATAAGCACCATTCACGGAGGTTTTTCTGAACACAAGGCTCACTCGCGTGTTCGTTCATTTGCGACATAAGAAATCCTCATTCAGTGTTCAAATGAGAAAAAGAGTGTGCAAGAGTGATTCAATCCGTGGATATGTTTCTGAGGGGACAACTTTGAAACGCACGCCCTGGGAAATGAGCACCGTTTAGGGTCACATTCTATCACACGAGCGAATGACTTGTTGGGCTGTCTAGAATGTGCAGGGACGTTGCTAAGAGACACAAAATACATGTTGTGTTTTCATTTACAGAGGGTACGAAGCATATCATGCATCACCAACATCATCGTATTAGCCACATCTTGAACATATGATGTGCCTTTAGTTCAACTAGCATGGCGAGTGTCCAATTCCTTCCATAGTTTGAGCATGAGATGCCGGTACAGTGCCTGTATTTGTCTGCAAAATTTGGATCTAATTCCTCTTGAGATCAAAGAGCTGGAGACTCAAACGGCATATTATGCACTGTTTTGAATGAAGAAGCTTGTTTTCTGACCATATTAAGGAAATATGATTTATGTAACTCTTTTCACGGGGAGGACTTTCAACGGCCAAACTCTGTCCCACTCAAGGTTTCCGAAAATAAACAAAATGCTTCAAAACTATAATTGAAAATGCACACAAATTTACGTTAAAAATAAAAATGAAAACAAAAAGGCTTTTAAGAAAACGAATGATGACATCTTACTTTTATGAAACGAACGAAAATGTCCTTCGCTTTTATCTGTGTCAGTTATTTTGGTGTTCATTTCAAAGGGATTCAGTATTGGTGTACATCTGTGTGCCCTCCAATTGGCTGGCAACCGGTTCAGGGTGTCCCCTGCCTACTGCCCGAAGATGGCTGCGATCGGCTCCAGCACCCCCCCCCCCCGCGACCCTCGTGAGGATTAGAAAATGGATAGATGGATGGATAGATAGATGGTATACATTCGTAGCTACAGAAGAAGGAAGATCAAATAGTTGTTTGAGAATTGTACGTTACTGTATTGTACAATAATTGGAAACCTGTTTTGTTTTTTTGTTTTTTTTCTATTACAATGAAGCATTTTCAAGAAAAAAACCTCACAATTTTGCTCTGAAAACTAATTCAGACTAATTTAATTTAAAAAAAACACACAAGTCAAAACAAAATAAAGTAAAATCCAAAAATATGACAACCCCGTTGTTAATCTCCCGCGTTAGTATGATGAAACACTTGTCCACGTCAGAGGTCAGAAATGTCCTATTTCTCAGTCATCTGGATGTGATGTGTATGATTTGAAAGATGACCTTCAGGTTAGTGTTCATGATTTTTAAGGCGAGGTGAAGTAATTTAAAAAAGGTCTCGGGATGCTTTGTGTGACCAAAAAAATCAGTGTCCTTGTCTGTGTGTGTGTGTGCGTGTGTGTGTGTGTGTGTGTGTGTGTGTGTGTGTGTGTGTGTGTGTGCGTGTGTGCGTGTGTGTTTGTGTGTGGCCTCCCACAGCCTTGTCTGATTTAATTATAGAAGGTCCAGGAGTGCGGCTGTCTCATTGGTCCATTCCATAGATGTTTATATCCTGGTGACGAACCACTGACTGGTTTATGATCTCAGTCTCCTTCAGCACAACCAGTGAGGGTTTTTTTCCCCCCATTTTAGTATCTTTGTATCTCAAGTATCTGCCCTCTCATCTTCCTCTACACTCTGAATACAGAGCCGTGGAGACAAAGAGAAATTAGTGGCGATGTTTGTCATCGATTGGTCCCGATAGTCTCGTGCAGCTGCTTTCTGGTTAGGTGAGGTGGGTTGAGGGTCGTCATCCGTCTGCCCCCCATCCCCCCACCATCCCAAGGCTGAGGATGCTCTAAAAGGGTAATGATAGATTGTGAGCACTGTGATGAAAGCGCTATGAGGGCATCAATAACAGACAATAAATCTCACAGCAGCCTTCTCAAAGCTCCTCGCAATAAAGTACCTTGCTGTATGACTCGTCAAATGCGGTAAAGCGTCATCATGCTTTTTTATCAAAACAGCACCAGGGTGGAAACTGTGTGAAAGAAGGCAATTCATTGTGTGTAACAACATTATTGATTCATTGATTTTCAATGGTTTTAATGGCAATGTTCCCCGTTTCAAGTCTCTAGCACACAAGAACAAATTGCTGGAGGGATGATTACTGCTTTGTTTGGCCCAAGACAAATAAGCGGCCTTTTTGAGACAATAGGAATGACACATTTGTGGGCGGGGGGCGTGACAAGGTTATTGGGGAAGCATAGGTTAGCGTGGGTCAATTGACCCTCAGCGGCATTTGCATCATGAGTGTGTATTAGACCAAAGAAGTCAACGTCCACATGCGTTTCTTTTCGTGAGCGAAGCACACACTTGAACAACAGGCGCAAAGATGGAACATGATGTCAATTTGAGACCATGCTGACATTGCGTAACCTTTAATTCACTTCTGGCTGGTCACATGCATGGAGCAGCCTGAGGAGGGCCATTGTTGCTGGCTGGACTTGTCTGAGCAAAATAAAGCTTGAGCGTGTTGTTAGAGGTCAGCAGTTGTACAAAGATAGAGTGCTTGGATTATTTTAACAATGTAGTTGTTACTCTGGCTGTAATTTGGTGTGAGACTGTACTACACTGGTGTCAAACTCAAGGCCTGGGGGCCAGATCTGGCCCGCCACATCGTTTGATGTGGCCCAGGAAAGCAAATCAAACATGTTGACTTCTGTGATGCTTACTCAATTTTTTACCAAAATTTCAAACAAGCTCAGTCATATCAAGATGCCATGCAAAAAAAAAAAAAAAAAAAAACCAACAACAACAACAAAAAAACAAACAAAGCGTGTTTGTGTTTCAGAGTGCTCTACAGAGTTCGCCGTGGGGTCTCATGCAAGCACTGGAGCAAAAGGTGGGAGAGCTACGCATCGACACCGACCACCACGATGCCGCTCAAGGAGACACAGGTGACAGTCGACCGAGTTCAGGTACCTGTAATCAAGGGGAAGGACTCCAGGAGCCTTGTGAGCAGATGTAGAACTTCTTATTTGATCTGTGCAAGTACAGCATCATTTTGTATTGATTGCAGGCTCCCGAACCAACTTGCCCAAGCTGGTGCACACTCACTGGCTCCAACATTTGGTCCACTTGCGCAATCTAGCGACATCAAATACGTAACGTAATCACGATCATATGCACAAGTAATACTTAAATACATATAATACGGATTTTCAAAAAGAGGTTTTGGACACGGTGTCTATTCAAAGTGTCTTTATTTGCAGAATGACAAAACGATTGAAAGAACGTACATTTTTACTTGCAACGCGATGGCAATTACTTATTTAAAGAAATGTTAAAAACATGCTTCGAATGTAGTTCAATTACAAATGTTAAAGAGCACATTGGAATTATTCGTTTTTTTTTTTTTTTTTTTTAATTTCTTTCCATCCCTTTGTTTGATTCTCTCAAAAAGGGTGATTGACGATTGATGGACATCATTTAAAACAAAGCAGAATGGAAGAATGGAACATAATGTTAAATGAAGTCTCCATTTTTTTCATGTTTGCTTGTTTGTTTATATAATATTTTATTAGTAATAGAAGTAGCAATTGTATAAGATGATTCACTGATTTTGTGATGAAAAACTGTGCTTTACACTCCCATTATTTAAGTATGATCAAGCTTCGTATACGCTCATTTTTCTCACGTTTTCCCAATTCAAGTATGATTTATTTGCATTTTCTACTGGATACTATTTATATTTCTTTAGTGGCCACCTTGCAATGTGTGCTGTGAGAAGTGGAGCTTTGATTGCTATGAAATAACCTTCTCTTCTCTCACACAAGCTCTACTTTTTTTTTCTAGGTTTCTATGAGTCAAGTGAAGGTCAGTCGCCTAAAGGGAGAACTTGTTCCACGGAGCCCGCAGAAATGGTCTCTTCCTGGCCTTACACCAACGAAAGGCCCAAGTCTGTGGGTAAGAAAATAAACACACATGGTCCTCTTTCACCATTTCCTGTTCCACGTGGACATCATTATAAGGCTTCTGTCAATAAATAACGACCGTGCTGCCTTTTTCTTTTACGTGCCTTAAGCATGCGTTGCTAGATCTTCTTACAGTATATAAAACATGCCTCTGTTAGTTCGTGAAGTGCAAAATATTTTTTTTAATTAGCAGGCACAATAGATAATTGATAAATAAATTCCTATTCACAGTTTTGCCTTGGCAGAGGTATCTTTAAACTGTTTACAGCACTTCATCCACATTTTGTTATCACTTCACATGATCCACATTTTGTCATGCTGTATCGTTATTACAAATCCAATGAGTTATTTTCCACCCCTAACACCCCATGAGGACAAATGAGGATTTATTTAATTTTTGCAAAGGAATTTTCACATCCTTGATGTACTTTTGGCAGCAACCTCAGCCGTCAGTCATTTTGATGCCAAAGCTTGACACCCCTATCTTTGGGCAGCTGTTTGTCGCACCTCTTAAGCTCTGACAGTTTTGACGAGAAGCATCGGTGAACAGTCATTTTCAGATTTTTCGCCACATTGACATTTGACTTCTATATCCGGATCCACACTTTGTTACCATTCTTGTTACAAGTTTCCCTTTCTTGCGTGCTGTATAATGTGCAGGTATTTGTTTCGTGAATTTAGTGAGGACTATAATGTCACAAATCAGGTGTTTTTCTGGGAGGCACGGTGGTCAACTGGTCCGCCTCACAGTGCTGAGGTCGTGGGTTCACCTCTGGCTCCGGCCTTCCTGTGTAGAGTTTGCATATTCTCCTCATGCCTGTGTGGGTTTTCTCTGGGTACTCAGGTTTCCTCCCACATTCCAAGAACATGCATGATAGGTTAACACTCTAAATTGTCCATAGGTGTGACAGTGCCTGTGAATGGTTGTTTGTCTCCGTGTACCCTGCGATTGAACGGCGACCATTTCAGGGGGTATGCTGCCTACCACCCAATGACGGCTGGGATAGGCTCCGGCATCCCTGGCGAGAAAAAGCGGATCAGATAATGCATGGAACGATTGACTTATGAATATTTAAGCAGATGTAGATACAACAACCAGCCTACTTAAATATACTGGATTGCACAGGAAATAGATACTATATAATCTCCCAGCACATTTGCTTCAAAAAGTGTTCTCAATCTGGAACTCAATCTTTTTTTGATGACCGCTGAATACTCGGTCTCCTGCAATAGAACTCCGCCAGTTAGAAGGAAATGCTTCAACCTGTTCTATCGAAAGCGGAAGTCGGTTGTGCATGAGCTCTGTTATCTGGCACCAAAATTGTGGCGAGTGAAAATACAGAGTGGGTTAACCACTCCCCACAGTGGTTGCTGAGCAAAAAGTCAATGTCAAGCCCTGATCATTTCACAGTATCTTTCACAACGAAAACAGCGATGGATGGAGGAATAGAAAGAAATGTGATTTATTTATAGAATACACGGCTGTGTTTGTAAAGTTATCATGATCGTGAAACGTGGTGACTTTATCATCCTGAAAGCATGCAGGATTTATTTATCCATCGCTTCTCCTTTTTCTTGCCCTTTTCCCTTTTGTATTCTGCGGCGACAGAGAAACAGTGGCCTCTTCCTGCTTAGCTTGCGCTGTTGTTTGTGGTTCAATTCATTAATATACAGCAAGGTGGCAGTTCAAAAGGTGTTTTTCCATAACAATGCTAGGAGGAAACCGTAGTACCCAGAGAAAACCCACGCAGACATGGGGAGAACATGCAAACTCAACACAGGAAGGCCGAACACGGAATCGAACCCTGCACCTCTGCACTGTGAGGTGGACCTGCTAACACCTGGGATGGGCTCCAGCACAATAATTATAATAACAATGATAATAATGACAAAAATAGTGTGAAATAAAAAGAAATTTAAAAAACCTTTGCAGACTGCTGTAGTTAATGAAAGTTTAGTGGTTCACTGTTGTCTGTGGTGCAGTCAGCCTCTTGGCTGAAGTTGGTGGGGATAAGCACCAGCTGAAAATGGAGCGATGGAAGAAAGTCTGCTCTTCATGATGCCCCTGTCCCTGGTCTAATTACGTGTAATTTGTTCTCTTATAGGAGATCCCCTCATGTTGAATGGGGAATCAGACATGACAGTTCCTCCAAGTGGCTTGCCTCGCTCATTTTCCGCACCACATCCACCCCTGGAGGGCATCGCTGAGGAAAGGACACCAGTGGACTCGTGGATGCTAGCGCCCAGCCGAGATGAGCAGCCCTGGCAGCAGCCACCTCCGGCGGATCAGGTGACAGAGGAGGACTACCAACAAGCCATGAGGGTGGAGGGTTACATACTTCATCTTGTCCAGCGTCACACCCTTTCGCCACGGCCATGTCAGCCTCGCACTACTCTAAGCCCTGATCCGCCATATAGCTTTACGCCTGCACATGCCCCCGTACACAGGAAAAGCCCCTCTCTTTCTACAGAGCAAGGACATCCAGGCCCTCAAGTTGAACTTTTGTCCACCCCAAAGAGCCCGAGTCGGGGTTGTGACCTTCCAGAGGGTGAGCCCTGCGGAGGAGCGGCCCCATCTTTGGAAGAGGAGCGTTATTTGATGTTGCCCTACCCCCAATGTAAGCCACACTCCCTGACTGGGAGGCTACCATCACCTCTGCCTTCCTTGGACCCGAACTGTGGTGCTGGGGCGCTTAACCTTTGTTGTGAACCCTCAACCCCCCAACATTGTCTGCAGTCCCCAATCAATCACAAGCACAATTTAGTAAGTGCTCAATACATCCCAGGACAGGCCTGCCACGCCCCCTTACGCTCACCGAGACACTTCAACCCAGCGCAGTCCAAAGCCCACCAGGCATCCCCTGAGCAGCACAACGCCAAGCCCAGAAACTCAAGGAAGGGCCAAAATGAAAAACAGAGGTCTAAAAAGTCGAGCGGTAAAACCGGCCGATCCCAGTCAGAAAACAGCCTCCTTGGCCAGCGGGTGATGCCCGAGCGCAGGTACAGCACCACCGAGAGGCATCAAGGTAGAGGGGATCAGGCTCAAGGTCAAGTTGCTAAGATTCATGTAGCAAACAACAGCGACAAAGCAAACCGACGTTGGTGTTCCAACCTGGAGCTCAGTCAAGACGAAGGGGAAAACCAGGTGGAGCAAGGACATCGGAGGCCACCTCGAAAAGCTCGCCATGTTCATGGTGGTCACCACCAGCAGCAGCATCATCATCTTCATCATCATCATCAACATCAGCAACATCATCACCCGCTGCAGCATCAGCAGCATGCGCAGCGCTGGCACTCTGATTTCCAGCAGCGCGCACCACTTTGCCAAGGGGAGGACGCGTATGAGGGAGCTGCCCCGGCTGAGTCCTCATCCAGCATGAGCGAGGTGTACTCGCCGGCCTCCAGCTCGCTCTCCAGCGACTCCGATGAGAGCGGGGGATTGGTGTGGCCCCAGCAGCTGCCACCTCGCCTCGCTAACACATCCTCCTCGTCCTCACCCTCAGCGCAGGCTGCCGCCGCCAATCCGCCCGCCCAGCCAAAGGCCTTCGTCAAGATTAAAGCCTCCCACGCTCTCAAAAAGAAGATCCTCAGATTCCGCTCAGGATCCCTCAAAGTCATGACCACCGTGTGAATTGGTTTCAAAACCAAAGCATCAACTGTCAGTGGCAGCTTCTCTCGGCTCTGCGCTGTACTCTAATTACAGGCTGGCATGTCATGGTTGTTTCCTACAAGGATCCACATCAAAACTGATGGTCTCCATCTTCCCTTAAATGACGTTAACTGACGTGATGCCAAATTGCAACTGTTGACAAGGTTTGCATTGTTGCTATGGAGCTGATGTCCAAAGGAATTATTATTAATGACTCTTCCATTCATGCTTTATAAATTCCCCCTGTGTAAGGTAGCCTGGGAAACTACAATTTAAATGCTGTGCAAACGGCTTTGGCCATCATTAGCTTCTTCGTTTTACTAAATCGCAGGATTACGCAAACTACAAACAACAATTTCCTCAAAATGTCATTGGCGGGGAGTACATGGACTCAGGCACAAGCCAGAAGACTTTGGTAAAGATGTGGATAAAGGTGCCGAATCAGGAATTCATTTTCAGTGTTTGCGTCAGGTGATAAGGGTGGTCCCTTTTCATCTATCGCTCCAAAAAAAAAAAATGATGTTAGACTGTTTTAAGGTACTGTCATGCTTCTACTCAGATTTTTCAATAAATTCTCATGTGAACATGTACATCTAGCTGCACTATGTCTATGATGACTGGCTCCATTTGTTGTCAGCTGGCGTTGGCATCAGTTTGTCATCATGAGAGAAGTCCCTTAAAAGGCAAGATTCCAGTGACAGAAACCGGGAAACACACAAGGTAACACACTTGTAAATATGTAACTAAGTGTATATCCATGTTGTGGCCTTGTTCAGAATGAATGTAATTTTTAAATAAAATCTAAATGTTCTGGTCTTCGGTATGTTTACAAGTGTGACATTTTTGATTAGCAAATACTTCTGATTGAATTTACAAGTACGTTTGAACAGATTTGCAAATACTTGGGGGCTAAATGGGCTTCCCGGTGGTCCAGTGGTTAGCGTGTTGACCTCACAGTGCAGAAGTACCGGGTTCAATTCCAGCTCTGGCCTCCCTTGTGGAGTTGTGGATAAAGGTGCCGAATCAGGAATTCATTTTCAGTGTTTGCGTCAGGTGATAAGGGTGGTCCCTTTTCATCTATCGCTCCAAAAAAAAAAAATGATGTTAGACTGTTTTAAGGTACTGTCATGCTTCTACTCAGATTTTTCAATAAATTCTCATGTGAACATGTACATCTAGCTGCACTATGTCTATGATGACTGGCTCCATTTGTTGTCAGCTGGCGTTGGCATCAGTTTGTCATCATGAGAGAAGTCCCTTAAAAGGCAAGATTCCAGTGACAGAAACCGGGAAACACACAAGGTAACACACTTGTAAATATGTAACTAAGTGTATATCCATGTTGTGGCCTTGTTCAGAATGAATGTAATTTTTAAATAAAATCTAAATGTTCTGGTCTTCGGTATGTTTACAAGTGTGACATTTTTGATTAGCAAATACTTCTGATTGAATTTACAAGTACGTTTGAACAGATTTGCAAATACTTGGGGGCTAAATGGGCTTCCCGGTGGTCCAGTGGTTAGCGTGTTGACCTCACAGTGCAGAAGTACCGGGTTCAATTCCAGCTCTGGCCTCCCTTGTGGAGTTTGCATGTTCTCCCCGGGCCTGTGTGTGTTTTCTCTGGGTATTTCGGTTTCCTCCTACATTCCAAACACATGCATGACAGGTGTGAGTGTGAGCGCGGATGGTTGTTCGTCTGTGTGTGCCCTGCTATTGGCTGACAACCAGTTCAGGGTGTCCCCCGCCTACTGCCCGAAGAAGGCTCCAGCACCCACCGCGACCCTTGTGAGTATAAGTGGATTGAAAATGGATGGATGGATCGGGGCTAAATGCTAAAATCTAGCATGTTTTTCCACAATGCAATGGTGTTTTGACTTGTGCGTGCACAGTTGAAAAAAAGCTCGTGCGCTATGTAGGTTTAAGTTGTAATATTACCATTCATCACTAGATGGCAAGTCATGCTTAGTTGCGCTTACACCAGGTCTTATACTGCCTTATACTACAAAGTGAATAGGGCTAATAATTTGGGAATTTGGAATGACATGCAAGACAATGAATAATTCATTTTTGAGTACAGTAACAGTATGGGCTATTTTTGAAACTTTGCTATTGAAGGATGGATCTGTGATACATACATTGAGCATGAAACACATTAAGATACTAAACAGAAATATGCAGGAAGTTTGTCCAACTTTAAAATGGAATTTCTGTGTGGTTCCATGTGGCCTACCAGTAGCACAAAAAAATGTACACCCCCTCGATCACTGAAGTTGAATATGAGATAGAACATAAAATTGTTATAATAATTGCCCCTCTGGAACTTTTTTCCGATGTTCATATAATCGATATCCATCAATATTGACATGAGTAGTACTTTTTGAAGAAAATGAATATAGTTATAGCTCATGCTAGGATAGGCAAATTTATTTGTGCATTATGCTCAGCTGTTTTTGAAGATGTGAACCGCCCAAATTTTACATATTACAAAGAATAAGTAACATCTTCATGATTGATCTTGTGTGATTTCTATTTCTAATGTTCTATACGGCAATACTAATGTGAATACGATTCAGTCAACCCTTCTTGCGGTTTTGAGTTCACACAGCCTAACGGAATAGGATATGATGCAAGTATTGGCTGTTTGCAAATCTGTTGCAATCCTGATAGCATGTCACACACTCGGAAAAAAGCACACCCAAATAGCAATCTTAGTGTTTAGTTCGGTTTCAAAAAGATTGACAAAAGCTGGTCTGCAGGATTGCTTTTCTAAAGGGTTGAGACCAGCGGTTCTTAACCTGGGTTCAATCGAACCCGAGGGGTTCGGTGAATCGGTCTCAGGGGTTGACGGAGCCTCTGCCATGGAGGTTAAAACACACCCGACTTAACAGTTCAATTAGTAATGACACGCTACTTGGCCATCGCTGGTTGCAGATGATCACATGACATTGCTTGACCTATCAGTGCTTCGGGAAATTTAGTTCGCTCAGTAGTCACCGTGTGACTATCGTGATAGTACGTTATGCATTTTTAAAGACCTTATGCCATGTAATTTTATTTACTTTTTCCCGTTTTTAATAAATGTGTTTTTTTAATGTCTTGAATTTATAAAAAAATCATATTTTTATTTTTCACTAATAAAGGGTTCGGCGACCTTTTTGAGCTCAATTAATATTCATTGTAACCCGAGAAAATATCTTTGAGTCATTTAATTTATTTTGCAGTATTTCATTTTGACTTTTAGAGGCAAGATTTAATATTTAATTGTCTGTGACAGAAAATGACAAATACAGCATATCATGAGTTGGCACAAGTTTGACATGAACATGAAGTGATTTAATGAAGAACTCAACATTTTTTTTTACATTAAACATTGTTTCTTTTGTTTTTTTTTTAAATCATGCAGTATTTAACGAGATGAATTTAATGGTTCTATTTGGTACGACCACTCCTTTGTGAGGCGCGTGGCAGCCATGACCAAACATGTTTCCTTCTCCAAGAATGAGTCATAGTTATAGGAAGGAAGAAAGTCCCAGCCCTTTCATCCATTGCGATAGTTGATCATGGTCCATGTCTGCTCCCCCTCATACCTTCGTCATCTGCTTCTCTGACGAAGTTGTGGTAGCATGAGTAGTGATGCTGGTTCTGGGTGTGTGGTCCTCACTGAGTAGGTGCAAGATGTTGCACAGGGAGCGGTTCATGGTGTCTTTGAAGCTTCGTCCGAGACACACATAAAGCAACGGGTTGAGGCAGCTGTTGAAGTAAGCCAGGCATAAGGTCAAAACATGGGCCAGGTACACGGATGGGTGGTGAGGGGAATGCCGAGGGGTCACCAACAACACGAAGTCGACAATGTGCAGGGGCAGCCAGCACAGGAAGAAGCTGAGCACCACGGCAACGATGACTCTCAGCGTCCGCTTGGAGCGACTCCTGCTGGCTGCCGCTTTACTGTCGGCTCTTCTGTAGACCATCAAGTGGCAGACGACGATGACCAGGAAGGGCAGGAGGAATCCCAACAGGAAGCGGAATGTTGTGACGAGCCAGGCGCTTTGCCGATTGTAAATCGTCAAACATTCGCGCTTGTGCTCGCCCGCCGTGATCTCCTGAGCGTACACAAACTGAGGGATGCTTCCTATTAGGGCCAGACACCACACCACAACACAACCCAGGACAGCATACTTGGTTCCCCTGTTGTTGTGGCACCACACAGGCCTGGCCACCAACAAACAACGATCTAGACTTATGATGACGAGCTGCAAGACGCTGCAATACATCACCAGGTAGAAGAGGCCTTTGACCAACGTGCACGCCAACGGGCCAAAGTGCCAGTGGTCATCGTGGGCAAGAGGCACCATGAGAAGAGGCAACGAGAGGCAACACAGGAGGTCTGCCAGCGCTAGGTTGAGAAACCAGATGGATGTGACCGACGCGGGCATTTTGAAACCGGTCACCCACACCACAATGGCATTCCCAGGAACGCCAAACAAAACCACAAGGGCATAGAAGGTCAGCGCCACGATCTGAATGGGCTGAATCTTAGGCCTCATGATGTCGGGAAAGTCGGGAAACGTGAAGTTGCCATCCGGAATGCTGAAGTTGAAGTCAAAGATGTCATTGAAGTCATAGAGGTTGTCCATGATTAAGCTGCAAATTCAAAGCAAAATGTTAGCGATGTGGCTTCACGGCATGGACGCTGCCCCCAACATTTTCTCTGCCCCACAACTTTCGGAGACTTTTACTCGCGGTAATTTCTACAAACCCTGCCAAGTAAAACAGGGAAGCGTCTAACGGGAGCGGGGGTTACGTTCTCCACTCTCTGCCTTCTGTCAATAAACTGTCACCTCTAAATCCAAATGATCAACATTTAGTAATCAATCAAAATACTGAAGTGAAAAGTTCACAAACAGAAATTCAATTTAAAATTTGAACTGAAAGTTTTCACAAATAACGTGCATCTTCAAAAGATTTGACTTACGATGTCACAGCTGTTGATGTTGCACTCGTGACTTAGCTGGGAGGAAGTTATGTGCTTTTCTCGTTTTGCAATGTTTTATACCCCCAACTCACACACACACACACACACACACACACACACACGCACACGCACACACACGCACACGCACACACACACACGCACACACGCACGCCGGCACACACACACACGCACGCATGTGCGAATATAATCGCACTAATGCAGACTCATACTTGCACACAGACATATCTGGCATGCATTTTTTTTTAAACATGAAAACTTTTTTTCTTCAGGAATTCTTCAGCAGCACAACAGCTGTCATTTCTTATGAACACAAATGTACAATAAATATAGGTGAAGAACGTGGCATCTATTACAATATACTTCCTACCCAAAGAAAAATCCAGAATAACCCTTCAGTGTGGTTAATTCATCAATTAGGATGGTTGCTCATGACCCATGTCAAATTGTGTACAACCTCGCACCTTAGCCACCTGCTTTTCTGAGGTGCTTTTAGGCTTGGTCCTCACGAAGTGCAAGATGTTGCACGGGGAGCGGTTCATGGTGTCTTTGAAGCTTCGTCCAAGACACACATAAAACAGCGGGTTGAGGCAGCAGTTGAAATACGACAGGCATAGGGTCAAAACATGGGCCACGTACAAGGATGGGTGGTAAGGGGAATGCCGAGGGGTCACCAACACTAAGATTTCGACAATGTGCAAGGGCAGCCAGCACAGGAAGAAGCTAAGCACCACGGCAATGATGACCCTCAGCATCCGTTTGGAGCGACTCCTGCCGGTTTCCACTTGACTGCCGGCTCGTCTGTAGACCATCAAGTGGCAGATGACGATGACCAGGAACGGCAGGACGAATTCGAACAGGAAGCGGATTGTTCTGATGAGCCGGGCGCTGTGAATACTGTGAAGTGTCAAACACACATGCTTGTGCTCGCCCACCATAAGCTCCTGAGCGTACACAAACTGAGGGATGCTTCCTGTCAGGGCCAGACACCACACCGCAACACAACCCAGGACAGCATACTTGGGTCCCCTGTTGTTGTGGCACCACACGGGATTGGCCACCACCAAACAACGATCCAGACTTATGAAGACGAGCTGCAAGACGCTGCAGTACTTGACCAGGTAGAAGAACCCTTTGACCAACGTGCACGCCATTGGGCCAAAGTGCCATTGGTCATCGTTGGTGAAAAGCATCATGAGAAGAGGCAGTGAGAGGCAACACAGAAGGTCAGCCAGCGCGAGGTTGAGGACAAAGATGGTTGGGACTGATGGCGGCATTTTGAAACCGGTCGCCCAAATTACGAAGGCATTCACAGGAATGCCAAACAAAATCACAAGGGCATAGAAGGTCAGAGCCGCGATCTGGATGGGCTGAATCGCGGGTCTCATGATGTTGGGAAGGTCGGGAAAAGTGAAGTTGTAATCTGGACAGCTGTAGTTGAATACATCCATGTCATTCAAATCATAGAGGTCGCCCATGATTATGCTGTAAATTCAAAAGAAAATGTTAGCAATGTACTTTCATGGCATGGATGCTCTCCCCACCCTTTTCTATGCCCCACAACTTTAGGAGACCACCATGTTTCTCATACAATATTTAACAATTTCCCAAAATTCAAATAACTACACATTTGAAGTGACATTTTAATAAGCACCCTGCAAGTGTAAAAAGAAGTGACATTGAGATATAAAATCAATGAGATACTCAATACTTCAAATGCATATTATTCTTCTCTTCTCAATTTCTTCCCTCGTCATCCCTCTGTTGAGTTTATGTAATATGTGTTGCAAAAAAATGTCTATTTTCGTCGATCTGACGTCTCAGATGCATTGCGCCAATGTGCTGACGTTTTGTGTAACTTTCAACTCAACTCGACTTAACTTTTAAGGCATATTAGTTCCCAACATTTGGCTCAAATTCCCCGATTGTACATCTTCGAGGGTATCTGAAGGTACAACTCTCATTGAAAAAAATAGCTGTTGAGTCTATTTGGGAGGAAGATCCTCATTCTACACTTGTTCTAAAGTAATTAGAAACGTTAGAAACGTTCAATTACATCGGTTCTGTTTAAAGATTCGAATGAAACTTTTAACACATTTTTAAAAAAATGTCAAAATGTTTTACTCACGGTGTCAAGACTGCTTTTGGCTCGGTGGATGTTATTCGCTTTTCTCTTTTTGCAATGTTTTATACCGCAGGACTCACACACCCGCAGGAAGACACACACCCACCCACACACACAGATGTTTTTATGAGACCTTGTGAAAAACAATGATGCACTGTGACATGCAGTGAGATTCATGGCTGGTCAGGAATTAATATCACAGTTACGTTGACAAATTTACGAGTGAAACAGAGTGTAAAATTGACCATTAAGTTAGCAGCCTGACATTAAAAATATAACACAACAATAATAATAACAATATGTAATAAAAAATAATGTCAGCATTCCCCCTCCATGAGCCCTCACTTTACCGTGGTGGAGGGGTTTCAAATTTTTTACATTTTTGTGAAGATAGATCGTGTGTCATGAACATTCACAGATTGCGGCAGTGGGGCAAAATGCTTTACGGGCAGCTTTTATTTTGATAATTTATACAAATGTACATTAAATCCACAGGTCAGCCTCGACACAAAACCGACTGATATATTTCCATGACAATATATGACGACAGCTCTCAGTTTTATCCGAATTGTTCTACAAACCAGAGCTTCCTTTTTTGGCAATGATGAGTTCTTAAAAAGTCAATATAAACAATGACGACTACTGTAGTCACCGTTGCTTTGGAAAGCATTGATGACAGAGTTCATGACGCTAAAGGATCTTTGGGGAACAGAGAAAAACGGACAAAATAATATGCAAAGTCAGCACCTCCTCTGAGAGCACGGTGACTCATGGACCTTCCAAAATCTGAAACATAACACAAAGGTTCTAAAAGTTGGGGTGGGGGGGGACAACACTCACACACAGAAACGGTAATGTTCAGTGAATGTTTGCATTTTGCAGTGTGTGGTTTTGTGATTATCTTCATCAGCGTGTTGCCAAGTCAGCAAACATGCCCATTTATGGTTTCTCTGTGAGCTTCACTGGCTTTTTATCAGCACTTGAAAATATTTTCCTCTGAGCACTGCCGTTGAGTCTTTCAGCTCACACGCATAATCTTTCCGTGTCAGTGTCAACTTATTGTTTCGTCATCGGGTCTTCAGAGGGTTCGGTTGAGGGTCGAAACACAGTTAGGTGGAAGTGTGGGGGTGTCATCTTGAAATGCATCTGATTGTAGGTCTGAAAAGACAAAATTGAAAAGTGAATGTGAAAACTGCATAATTGATAAAAAGCTTTTTTTTTTTTCTTTAGGTGGACCACTTTGAGAAGCACTCGCACATACAGGAACAGGACCAGCGGAAGCAATTGGGCAAGACCTTCCACAAACAGCGGCTGAAGAAAAAAATATCTCCGGTGGGGTTTTTTTTCTACAAATACCCATTCGAAGGAAGTTGGGATGTTGCGTAACACATAAGGAAAAAAACGAGTCTACTGATTGGCAAATTCTTTTCAACCTACATTCAAATGAATCCACTATAATCTTCAACCTCAGCACTTGGGTGTGTCCTACGCCCCACTGCAGCACACATTAGTCGCAATAGTTTATCTAGACACCGAAGCAGTCGTGTTATTACGTGTGGAGATAACAAAGCCATTGTGGAGCGACAAGGCATCGTGACAGCAGGAAGTTGCACGGTTGATGCTGTCTGAGCTCCGCAGCAGTGTGAAGGAAATGAAAGGGATAGTCATGGATTTTTTTGAGGGACTAACAGCTCCCACGCCCAACTACCCCAACTCTATCCCCGCCTCCATTTTTCATCCGAGTGCTTATGGAAACAGTCCAAAGCTTTGAGTTCCTCAGAGTCTGTTTTTCTCGGGATTTTACGTGGGCTGCTGCCAAAAGCATAAAGAAGCCACACCAATGCCTTTATTTCCTCTGGAGATTGAGGCATTTCGGTCTCAGCTATCCGATCCTTCCTTCCATTTTTCCACTGTGTTTATGGTGGAGAGCACACAGACCATCCTCCATTACATTTGGCGCAGATAGTACTCTGCTACTGACAGAAATTCTGCCACAGATGCAAAAGGGCTTATAAATAGGAGACTCCGTTCCAATGAAAAATTTGAAATGGCACAATGAGAGAAAATATTCTGTAAAGTGAAATAATCTAACCTTTCTGAAGTTACTTACAATTAAAACATAGCCCATGCGGGTTCTGAAAATATACCGACTGAAGAATGAATTGTCCATAAGAAGGTGTGTGCAAATGGCAAATGGGCTTTTGGATTGGCTGACAACCGGTTCAGGGTGTACCCCGGCTCGAATCCCAAATTCAGCTCGTTTAGGCTCCAACTCATCTGTGACCCTAATAAAGACGAGCTTTACAGAAAAGAAACATGGCTCCCTAAAAACTAACCCTAACGCAAACCTCAACATGTCTCACCAATGAGTGTCAATCCTGGCTGCTGGCTCAGAATAACTGATGCTGTCGCCTCCTCATCCTCTTCTTCCTCCTCTCCCCAATCAGCAATGTTGGCTGGAGGGATACACTGCTCCAAGAAGAGGTCCTCCTCATCCTCATCCGTGTCCACGTTTTCCGGGGGCCAGCGCAGTTCGCCGCTCTCCACCTCGCTCACTTCAGTGGGCTCCACAACAATGGAAGGTAGACGCTCCCTCTGGTGGTTCTGAGCCAAGCTGTTCAAAGACGTCTCCGGGCCAAGCACTACCTCGACGGGGTCAGGGAATATCTGGGGGAAGAGGAAGGTGAGCAAATGTAAGCAGAAAGGTAACAATTGAGTAGTTGTTGTGTTGCTGAGCGTAAATTGAAATTTGTATTGTCTTAAAAAGGCCAAAAATAGCCCTGCCATATTAGTTAGTAAAGCAAATGCTTCCATTCCATCTCCAAAGGGTGTTGAGCTCAATGAATTTCTATAATTTAGTGGTCATGCAAATAGTATTTCTCTGTTTTAAGGTTTACTGTTAATCTGATCTGGACTTGACTTGGACTCCGACCTTTCTGACTCGAAATTGACTTGTACTCGATAAAAGTGGACTTTGACTGCAGCCCTGCATCCCTTCATTTAAGGCCTTTATGCCGCAAGTATGTAATAGACTTCCTAGTTACTGTCAAATATTTTGCTAATATATTAACTCAAGCCACTGTCACTCTTTACTTCATAAGAAATTACGATGTGACTTTGGATGGTTTTGATGCCCCCCGCCCCCAACCACTCCTCCCACCCCAAAAAAGATGGTTCAACCAAATGATGTGCTCGTGCATACAACTGAGAAAGTTGGTAGCACAAGTGCCACCAGCTGAAAAGTTCTTGTTGAATCCTGACACTTATGGGCAATTTCGAGCCTGAATACCTGAATAAATCTCACACAAGAACAAGAAGAGGAAGCAATTTCCACACAGAAATCTGAACCAAGACTCAGACGCCAAACCACAGCCTCCACCAAGGTAAACGAGGCATTTTGGACAGATGCATTTCACATGACCGAAATAAAGATCATAACGTACCTGGAAGGGCAATCTGTGTTCCTTCCGTTCCAGATTTTCAGAGTGTAAATCCTGACCACTTAGCTTCTCCATCCCTCTGAAAGACACAACAAAAGCACCACAGTACAGAAAGTAGACTTCTGTACACCATAAAAAAAGAAAACAAACGTTTACTATATGCCAAAACCTTCAGAGAGCAGTATCTTGCCTTAAAATAAAGTTGAGCTCCTGGCGATCATACCATCACCAACATAAAAACCAACAAAAAGGCTCACTGGGGTTGTTTCTTACAACTTTATGAGGTTTTACACAAAACCACAAGCAGTTTCTTGAAGTCATGTGATTATGAATTAACCTTCATAATTAGGGAGGAATGTCATCCTTGGGTCCCTGAGAGTCCTTCACTGCACTGGAAAGAAAATGCGCTCTCTAACTCAAAACCGTGTGGTGCAAGTTACATTCTTCGCTTAATGAAATTTGCAAACGTTTTGGAAAAGCTCGTGCCACTGATGCTATTGCCATGAACACACACTGTTAGGCTCTGACATTTCTTCACACGGTTCCTGAAAGGCATTTAGAGTATTTAGATACAGAAAATTAACGTAAACAGCACACTTTCTTGTGTTACAAGCTCAACGTCAGCTTTCTCAGGCTCAATGATCTCAGGTTTACGGTCACTCCTACATTTCTAAATCTGCCAGACTAAGTGAATTATGTGGCTGCGCTTGCTTGTGTGTCATCACATGGCGTCTCCTGTGATACTCGGGCGCACACACACACACACACACACACACACACACACACACACACACACACACACACACACACACACACACGCACACACACACACACACACACACACACAGATTAGTGCAAAGTCAAACAGAGCTTTGCACAAAAATGGATTATGTCTGCTGCTGCTCATAATTCATGTTGTGACAGCGAGCCATGCCGAACACATGGACTCAACGCCCTCCTTCCGAAAGAGACAGTGGGAGCCTCGCTTCTGAGTTTCATTTGCCACGAACTATTTGCTGCACTCTCCAAACGTGATAGTTGATGTGAGACATGCCAAGGTCCCCTGTTATCTTTAGTCCGCAAAGATTCCTGATGTGGAGCCCGCAGTGTGTTCAATGGACACTTAAAAACAAATTCCTTCGCACCGGCTCCATATGACTTCAATCTCTTTGAGGTGTCCAAAAAAGATGAGAGGGGTATCAAGAAAGACTAAGGATCTGTCTGAATCCTTGTTTTATATCCCTCACTATTTGCTTTTTCTTTTTTATCGCTGTCTCTCTGGCTCCATCCCCGCTTTAGTCTCACTTTATTGACTGTCAGATTCATGGGTAACACGCAATCTGGTAAAATCGTGCTGACTGCTTAATGACATCTTAGCTGAAAGACAAATCTCATCTCAGTGTTACTTTATATAGAATCTGCTTTGGGCCCTTTGGAGAGTTTAGTAACAGCAACACTTAGATATCATGTTTAGATAGGATGTTTTGCACTAATATAATTGATAAAATTCCATGCAGGACTGAAGTTAGTTAGTTAGTTAGTTAGTTAGTTAGTTAGTTAGTTAGTTAGTTAGTTAGTTAGTTAGTTAGTTAGTTAGTTAGTTAGTTAGTTAGTTAGTTAGTTAGTTAGTTAGTTAGTTAGTTAGTTAGTTAGTTAGTTAGTTAGTTAGTTTCCTTCGTATACTGTGTCCTTAACTGCACAATGTAAATGATCAAATGTGTAACATATTACACGGTATATGTGAAATGTAACATGTATGCACATGAACTAATGTTAGCGCAAATCTGATTATTTCTGGCTAAATATCCTTTTAGATGATTTTGAGATCTCTTATTTTTTACATGAATTCTTTGGCATACGACATCAAAAATGTAATCTGACCTTCCCCATTTAACTATGGTGGACTTGAATTGCTCATCTGTGAATTGCTGAATTTCAAAATCTGGAAATAGCGCGTGAAAGAAAAGTGATGCAGCAAGAGCATACTAATATAAGAGCCACTTGCAGACAACAACATGACAAACAGCTCTATCTGGTGGCCAGGTGCTGCATGACTTGCAAACAAAATGACACTGGCTTTGACAATGGGAATTATAAGCATGGGTTTGTTTTGTTTGTTTGTTTGTTTGTTTTTTTGTGAAGACCCCCTCTTCATGGGGAGTATGAAGTCATGAATGTGCCTCTGTAAACGCTTGTAGGGTGTTTTTATGGTTTGTTTTTGAGGAAGAAAAAGGACAAATATGGTCTAAAAATGTCCCATAAACTTCCTCTTTGACCTCTTCTTTGTCAAACTAAGGTCATAGCAAATGTGAATGTGTATGCTCCGTTTGTTTTCAGGCAAGAATTACTTATATTGCAAATGAAGAAACACTGCTTGGCCAAAAACCAGGACGCTCATCTGTTCTCATTCTCACTGGATCAGCTTTGCAGGGAGCGTGGCCATTTTTGACCCATTTGTGGAATATATACAAAACGATTTCTGAGATTTTGACGATGACAACTGTGTCATACTAAGCCGTTTGTGTGCCACCTGGGATGGAAACTTACAGGAGCTATTATGAAGAAGCTTAGCATCCATGTAATCCTCTCCATATACACTCTCTCTGAACACCTGTGCATTTCCACTCACTCCACACCCTGGGTTTGCCGTCTCAAATAAATCATGCTAAGACTAAAAGGCTGCAAGATGCAGCTTTATGTTTTCAAGCAATCACTTTCATGAGTAGGGCATTGGTTTTATTCACAACTACACAATCGACGGAAACTACACACATATAAATGAATGAATACATTTCCAATCGGCCATAATTACAAAAATGTAAGTATATACAGTATTGTTGTGATAGTAAAAATGGCAACCCAGGAGTGCTTCAATGACTATTGTAAACATCTATATTTTTAGGTGGAACGTAAGAGTTTTGCTATCAAGGATGACCTTTCCAATTCAGGTTCAAAATCAGGTCAAGGATGAGAATTATGCCTCTAATGAAAAAGGACCCCCCTCCCCCTCTTCTTACCCTTTGTTTGCTGTCAGGTCTTCTTCGTCCCCATCTTGACACAGATTGACTGTGGTGAAGACAGTGGGCACGGTTTGCATAATGGGTGCTTCGGGAGGAGGTAAATAGCTCCCGCAGCTTTCCCCCTGTGCGGAGCTCTCTGCGAGGCTGTTGATGTCCAGGACAAGGCCTGGATGGGGTTGTCCCACACTTTCAAAGATGCTCAGCAGATGAGGATGGCGGAAGACCCTGCTCCAGGTTGGACAGCACCTGCCTCACTTGTGCAGCCTCAAATCCAACTTTGCCAACATGTGCTCCCTTCAAACTTCCCTCCTTGTGTCATTGTCCTCCCTCTCCTAGCCCAACCTACAAGTAGGCTTTGGATTAGCGTCTCTTTCGATTACACTGGCTTGATGGGTGACGTCAGCCAGGCTTGTCAGTCCCCTCTGATGAGTTGGCACAGCGCATCGGTGGTGCATGTGCAAGGGCACGCATGCAGAGGGCGAGCACTGTCGACAAAGAGCAGCCTGACTCCAGAGTTGCATTACTGCTTGCATGTAGCTCCAAGTTTTTGCAACTTTTTGTGTGTTTAAGTCCTGCCATTTTGTTTGTTGAAGAGATTCCTTTGTCTCATTCGAGCAATCTGAACTCTTTGTGTGCTGCTGCGCCATCAGTGAATTTAGACTTGGATGATTCATGGAATTAGCTCAGGGATCAAGGGCTCAGGCTTGGGGAGGGGAGACAGAGGGATATATATATAAATAACGGGCAGCAGCGACTGCTTAACAGTGTTTCTATGGATACCAACATAATCCTTTCTGTGGGCTGCATATGGAATAACAAAGAAGTCAAAAAACAAAGTAGTCAAAAAAAACAGCACAAAATTGCATCTTTTTTGAAAGGAAATGCATAATCCCAACCATGTTTATCTTACGTTTTTGACCAATTTAAAAACATTGAACAGTGTTCTTGGCCATAACAGCTAGAAACATTTTTTCTATATTGTAAATAAAAATTGTAACCTTTAATTATGTGAAAGATTGATGGTGGGCTATTTCTTTTCCGTGTCACATTTTCATTATTAAACATATTTCATTACATGTTATTTGATTATTTATGTATCACATACAGTTGACATTAAAATGACATATTTATTTTAGTTTATATTGAAATGCTACTCATGAAAATGTTTACAAAACAGGCTACTGGGTACAAGTGCATTTCAATAACTTTGAATGTTGAACTTGATTTACTTCAGGAGTTCAATTTATAAAAAGAGAATTTTAGAAAGAAAGACACACTACACATGACGAAATATTTGATGACTTTAGTTTTTGTCCTCCAACCACTAAGAGGCGCTGTCTTAATTACAAACGCTTCAACACAATCACGCGCATGCACACTTCGGTGTTTTCTGAGTGTCGTTCATATTTGCGTCTCGAGACCGTAAAAACTGTTAAGCGTAACTGAAATAAACTTAGATTGTATTTTTTCCATCCTTCAACAGGAGTCATTCCAATGGACTTGGAAACAGGGACATACGAGCCGGGCTTTGTGGGGATCCGGTTTTGTCAAGAGTGGTAAGATTGTGATATATCGGTTTAGTTCAATAAAACTAGCTAGCTGTGTTGCAAAATGGGAAGGCAACGCTAAGGGATTTTAATATCTGCATCTTAAGTTTTACTCGATATTTGAATAGAGGGATGATCGTTTTATGTCTTCTTTATTTTTCAGTAACAACATGTTGTATCCAAAAGAAGATAAGGAGAATCGGATCTTACTCTACGCGGTAAGATTGTGAGAGTTTATGCTGCAGTCTACTAGCGTGTTGAATCAGTTCTTGTTGATATGCTCAATTTTAAAATCACGATAACTGTCAAAACCGGACTCCATAATAGAAGATGGGGATTCCTTCATAAAAGCACAAGGTTGCTCGTCATTTAAGATTCAATAATTGACAGAAATTAATTTGCCACCTTTCATTTCTGAATTTTGAAATCATCTTATCTCACAGTGCAGAAATTGTGACTACCAGCAAGAGGCGGACAACAGCTGCATTTATGTCAATAAGATTACTCATGAGGTTGAGTAAGTATGAACATTGATGTATTTTTGAACTGCACAATTATGTGTACAGAATTAAGTGAGTTTATATAACTTAAACCTGTCTGTTTTTGATTTGTGGCGTTCACGGAGAATGTTTGATGTTCCAGTCCAACCCAACTGTATTTGTTCAACGCATACAGTTTAGCGATGTGTTGTACTCAGCAATAAAGAACATCAACGAGAAAAGAGTTTCACATATACAGTATACTCAACTCAACTGTATTTATAGAGCACTGGAAATTATATAAAATGTATCCTGATATTTACTGGCAGTAGGCGCAGTGAGGCGGAAAAGGAGTAATTGTGTTCACATGGAGTTGTGTTTTATAACATATCATTTACCTAATCTGTTTATTTGTTTCAAGCTGCAAAAAATAAATATTGTAGTACCCTGTTCACCAACATTCTTTCTCTCCCCCTTTTCTGCAGTGAATTGACCCAAATCATTGCTGATGTATCTCAAGATCCAACGTTACCAAGAACAGAAGACCACCCCTGCCCCAAGTAAGTTTTACTGCTGTGACTGTGTATATCAATTTATACTGTACTGAAATGAATACATTTCATATGAAAACTAAGCTTCATCCATTACGCTTGATGATAATCAGACGTACACATGGTGAAATTTTGTGAACCCCCCCCCCCCCCCCCCCAAAAGTGGATTGTGAACCACATT